GAGCAACCTCTTTCAGTTTTTTTAATGTCCTCTGTCCTATTATAGAAGTGATCCATCACATTTTATGAAAGCCTGGAATTGATTTAGTTTTCTGCTTTGTCCTCGCCTGTTCAGCTGTAACTCACCTTAACCATGAAGTTATTTTTGGAGTTTAAAAAATTACTTGTCAGCATGATGGAAATCCAAAACAGACTTTAATGGCTTATATTTGATGTTGATTTGAGTGTGTGTGTGCGTTTGTGTGTGTAAAATGTAAAACATTCTTAAAAGTCTTTTTAGAATTAATTCCAGCATGGACCTAAATGCTTTTTCAATGGTGTATTTCAGCTTTATTGTCTTTGCTAACAGTTGTAGAATGGGAATGTGCTAGCAGACTTTTGGCCTGTGAGCAAAGTATAATGTAAGCAAGGAAATGAGTTCTAAATGCCTTGGCTGTGCCTGTAAATCTGTGCATAAGATAATAATATTGAATAGCTTGTATAGTAATATACTGAAGCACACACTGGATATTTTAGAGCTTATTCACACAGTTTTTCTCTTCCCTAGAGTCTTCATAGCATTGCTATAGAGTGGGACGTAAGATTTTATTTATTTGTGTTATTTCTGTACAGTCAAATATTAAGGAAAATCCCTAAGTGATTTCAATATTAAAATCACATTTAAAATATAATTAAAAAACAATACAATTACAGCAACAACAACACAGAGTGGTACAGAAGCAGTGCGATTGAACAGTGTGATTAATTGAATTATGAGCCAGGGAAAGCTTTGGTAAACAGGTGCATTTGCAGCAGGTGTCTGAAAGGTGCCACATTCCTGCCTGCCAAACTGCACAAGGGAGGTTTTATTTCACAAACTGGGCTTCACCACCACAAAGACCTGCTATTGAGGCATTCCATGGAATGAATTTTGGAATGACTAGCAAAGCCTTCTCTAATGACCATAATGGACAGTTTTGGTATATTTAAGGGAAAATGGCATGCTAGGTATACTGCTCCTATGTTGTTTGCGGTTTTGTATGACAATCACTTAATATGTAATGTTGTATTTTTTGCATCTCTATTCATCTGGTTTGGATATCATAATAAACTATGGCTTATAGTAAATATAATAAACTATGGTTCATAATAAACAAGCTACAATGAACACCCCTACTCCCCTCTTCCCATCCAGCAAGGTTGTGAGGAGTGTATTGGAAGCATTTGCTTCCATCTTTTATTAATGGCAATTTAGTGTTACCTCTGAAACTTAAGCTGTGATGAATCCTATTTACCATAGTTTGCTGAAACATGAAAGCTTCATAATCAATGGCAGTAGTGTGATCATTCCTGAAGAAATTAACTGATTTAGTGCTATTTGACAACTACTGTTCAGGTCTGAATAGGTAGGGAGGAATTTCAGACATTTTTGGAGGATTCCCAACTTCATTTTAAGTTTTGTCCTGGTTACAGGACTGATTCAGTCCTGGTTGCCTTTATTGAGAGAGGAACAGTGGAGTATGAGCCTCTTAAACCTGCTCAGGCTCACATCAGCTTTTGATAGCATCAATCATGGTATCCTCCTGGACCATCTCTATCCATTTCTTAGATGTTGGAAGCTATATGTCAAAGTGGTTCTAGTCCTATTTGCAAGGGCAATTTTGGGGAGTAAGACTATTCTTGGACCCTTGACAATTGAGCTACAAGGTCTGCAGTGTACTAGGAGTTATCAGTAGGGAATTTGGAGCAAAACGTTATCAGTTCACTGAAGACCCACAGCCCTATTTTCCTATGTCATCTGAATAAGGTGAGGCTGTGTGAATCCTGAATCAGTGTCTAGGCTCAGTAATGAACTGGATGAGGGCCAGTTAACTGAGGCTGAACCCTGTGGAGACAGAGGACCTGGAAGTAGCTGGTTTCCAGATCTGGAAAGTGGGCTTATTGCCTATTCTGGATGGGATCGCATGCTCTCTGAACAATCAGGTGCATAATCTAGCATTACTCCTGGATCTAACTTTGCTGGATGGCCACAGTTACTACTTCTGCCAGCTTAGAGTGTAATGTTAGCTACAGCCTCTCTTGGACAGGACTAGCAGTGGTACAGGTGCTAGTTACCTCAAGACAACACTGCTTCAACATGCTGTATGTTGGGCTGCCCTTAAAGTTGGTATCAAAGGTGCAGCTAGTGCGGAATGAATTGCCCCTTTTCAGCATGCAACTTCTTTGCTGAGGGAACTGCACAAGCTGCCTACTTGCAACTGGACTGGATTTAAGATTTTGTTCTTGGTGCATAAAACCCTAAGCAACTTGGATTCTTTAAGAATATTTAAAAGAGTGTTTTCTCCCTTACTAGCTGGCCTGGTCTCTGAGAGCGTCCAACAAGGCACCACTCACTTCAGCAGTCCATTTGGTATCTAGTTAAATTGGAATCTTCCTGTACTGGTGACCCTCCTTATGGAAGTCCCTGCTATATTGATGGCAGATGGATGCCTATGTTATTTTATTTTCAGCACTTGTGAAAGACATGTTTATTTAAACAGCCTTGATGGACCAGTGATGGTTGTATAGGGGAAACTTTGATTTTGAAGACTAATTCTGTATTTTTCTTCTCCCCACACCCCTTTATTGTTCACTTTTTAGGAATATTATTGCATATAGAGCAATATATCAACTTTTTTACATGAGACAATCACTGTGTGTTTGTGATTACTTACTCATGGTTGCTTATGGGTGCTTTAGGTCCTCCAGTTTTATTTCTGACTTTCTCAGAACATTTTCCTTTGATTTTCTTTTTAGAATGGGAAAAATTGGGTATTATAATAGACTGGAGAAATGGTGCTATTTCTCCATGTGTATGTGAGCTATTCCACTATAGCACAGTGCTACCTAGATGATATGTGGCAGAAATGGAAAAAGGTCCATGAAAAGCTTGGATTTCAGTGCTGCAACAAATTAAGATGCAGTAATTAACAGCCTCATGTAAAAAAAAGCTCTTACTATCCTTCGAATAAAATAAAATGGACTCAGAAAGGAGGACCAGCCATGAAAGTGGTATTGGCACCTATAAATCATCCCTAGGGGATGAAGATGAGAAAGTTTGATTGTCCAAACGTAGAAGGAAAGGAAATTGGCCCTGAGTGCATGGTATGATTGATAGCCAGCCAAAGAGGTTGGAGAGTCAAAATAGAAGATGCTCACACCAAGAAACAAGAAAGGAGAACCTATGTACAGTGGGTATTACAGAAACCTGGTAGAATGGAGAGAATCAGTAATTTATGGTCATCTCAGGATAAAAATTGTATAGGAAGGACTGGAAAAGACATACTGGAGGAGGTATTGCTATAGAAGTCAAAGAAGACATAAGGTAAAGCAGACTAGAAAACTAAAAGGGGAAAAATATCCACAGAAGCACTGTGGGTTGCCATATTGGGCTCCAAAGTTCATTTAGTATGAGAAGCATGGTATTTTTCCCTAAAGCTGAATGCTCAGGGTGATCTTGAAATGGAAAATGAAATCAGGAAGGCCTTCAAATCCAATAGTGTTATAATAAAGAGTGGTTTCAATTATCCCCAGATTGGCTGGATAAATGCATGTTCCAGTCATGACCAAAGAGGTTAAACATCTCCATGTCTTAAATGACTGAGCCATAGAACTATTGCTCATGAAAATGATCAGAGGAGAGGAAACTCTAGATTTAATCTAAGTGGCCAGAAAATAGTATGAGATATAAATGCTGTTGAACAAATTCAAAACAATTACTACAGTGCCAATTGACAAAAAAGTACAACATGGTCATGTTCAACTTCAAAAGAGGAGATTTTTCTAAAATGAGGGAACAGGAAAAAGAAAATTGAAAAGGAGAATCAAGGGGCTTAAATCGCTTCAGAATGTATGGAGATAACTCAAAACAACACTAATAGAATCTAAGATATACCACAGGTTAAGAAAAGTAGCATCAAGCTTAAGATGTCACCAGTATCTTATCAGAAATAAGATGACTTCCTTCAGAAAATGGAAGTCTTGTGTAAGAGAGGAAAACAAGGGGGAGCACAAGTTTGTACAAAGGAGATGCAAACAGATGATAAGAGATGCAAAAAAGCATTTTGAGGCACGAATTGCTAACAACATCAAGGCCAACAATAAATAGTTCTTTAAATATATTGGAAGCATAATGCCTCTCATAATAGAAAAATCCAGAACCATTCCATGAAGTGGGAGCATCAAGAAAGATAATGGAAAGTACTTCATTACACAGTTAAACTATGGTATTAATTTCCACAAGGTGTAGCAATGGCTGCCAATTCAGAGGACTTTAAAGGGGGATTAGATAAATTCATAGAGGAGAAGGCTATCTGTTAGTCCTGACTGGAAAGCAATATGCCTATGTATACTAGTTGCCAGGAAACATGAACAGGAAGGTGCTACTGCACTCATGTCCTGCTTGTGGGTTTTCCCCTGGTTGACCATTGTATGAACAGAATGTTGTCCTAGATGGCCTTTTGGTCTGATCCAGTATGTATCTTATAGACAAGAACAAGGTCCTTAATATATGTTAGTATTTACAATACCAGAATCTACACTGTAGTGTGGAATACTATGAAATCCTCTTCAAAATTTATTTTATTTATTTAAAACATTTGTATGCTGCCCAGTTGTGCCACAGCACTATATGCACCTTTTTGCAGATAATCATTCTAGAAAATTATCTGTGCCCATTATTACAATAATGGAAAGAAGGATAAGGTACACATTGCTTAACTACTTGGGTCCAGGCAATTGTAGCATTTCTGAGCTAATTAAAAATTGTGTTTTATGAGCTGAAATAATCCACTTTGGCTAGATAGAACTACTGTGTGGGGTGTGGAAAACCACTGTGTAAGAAAATTTTAGTACAGAGAGTCTTTAGGCATTCTTGTTACAGGCAACTACGGTTCTACTTAACCCCCTGTCTGATACCGCCTCATATTCTTATGGGTCAAAGGAACTAATACACTTTGGTTTTTCCAATTCCTCACTTTACAGATTCTAGTACAAAGTAATAACCTCTCTGATAAGATCAGCGTTCTGTCAGGAAAAATAGAGGAAATATCCCTGCCTGAGAATGTAGATGTTATTGTTTCTGAACCCATGGGTTATATGCTGTTCAATGAAAGGATGCTGGAAAGCTATCTGCACTCCAAGAAATGGTTGAAGTCAAATGGTGAGTCAATATTTGCCAGCTGTTGACTAGAGAACTGAGAGTCTACAGGAAAAGGGTCAACCAAATAGGATCTGCTTGCTCCAGTCTAGTATATTAGCGAATGTTGATTGCTTCTCACTTCATGCATCACTATCCACAATAAGCCCAATTAAAGAACTAAAATAAGCTGATGAGAATGTCTTGTGCCCAACATTAAGAAGGGCGTTAGATCCCCTCTTACTCTGATGTCTTTAGGATGGTTTCCCTGTCAAGTGGACAGGACCGTACAGGGATGAATGAGAAAATTTTACAGCACATTACAGTGCTTATCAGTGGAGCTCTTGTTTGAAGTGTTCTATAGACAATTAGATCTTGCTTTGAAAATGATGAAAAATGTACCACATATAGTAGGAGAGACTTGGGTATAGTGTGGATTAGTAAAGGCCTTTCTGCTATATCTTCCTGATCACCTAACAGGTTATCACTTTATACCTAATTTTCAAGTGTGACTGTTCTTAGCCCTCCCAACTGAGGATGCTTTGTTGCCTTCAGAGTTAGTGTTTCTCCTTTAAGGTACAGTCCTTATTTGCTATGCTTAAAAAGTCAATTCCTACTTAAGTAACAAGGCAAATTATACTAACGTTTTGTCTTCTTGATCTGCACAATAGGGATGTTTTTCCTGGTTAATGAGAACTTGTTTCTCTTTTATAGCATTTTAAAACTATGACTTCTCCTAGAAATTGTAAAATTGCCATCCTGAACAACTTACTCCAAATGAATATGGTATGCAGTAAAGAGCTTTAGGATCTCCATCCATCCATGTTTTATGGCAGCATTGTCTTAAGACAGTGTGTCTTCTCAATTCAGTGTGTTCTGCAGAAATAGAATAATTGGCCTCCTAGCTGATATTAATTAAGGTGACACAATTTTTTCTAAAGATTTCCTGCATCATCTTTCATATGCTAGCTCATCATTGCAGTGCCAGGTGCCCTGGTTATAACCAATTCACATATTATTTTCACAGTTGTTGGGTTAAGCCCTCATTCAATAGAAATGAACGTGACTGTTTTTCATGCCTTACCCTGGTGGCAATATAATTCTGTAATGTGCTTAGTCTTTTTAATGTTTTCATTACATATAACTTCTATACAGTGCTTTGCAGTCTTTTGATATTCCTTGTTAAATGCATAGCAGTGACACTAGTTCTTTAATACTGCCAGCCTTGAAGATTATCATCAGTGAATATCCGAAACAGTTGGTGGTCTCTTCACAATAACATATTACAGTTAGTTATTGAGTGAATAGATTGTTATTAAGCTGTGGTGGATGAACTGGAACAGAATCTTGCCTTTGATTTAAGGAAATTGTTTAAATGCTTAATTTTAAATATGTTAAAAATATTACGCCTTTATCAGCTTATGGCAGCATCCCTGAATTACCTTCTTAAGTGTTCTGTTGTTGCTGATGGATTAACTGAAATGTGATCAGGAATTAACGTATAAATTTTATCCATTGAGGAATTATGAAGAATAAAGGGTTTGAGATGGAGAGTGGATAATAATTACTGGGTATTTCCAACAATTGTTTAAATAGGGCTACACAGAAGTTTTGAACTTTGCTACTGTGTATTATCTTTTGTTCACTAGGAATGATGTTTCCAACATTTAGTGACATACATTTGGCTCCTTTTTCCGATGAACAGCTCTACATGGAACACTACTCCAGAGCCAATTTTTGGTAATGATTATTTCACTTTTTTCACCAAAAAGTAAAAAATAAGAATAAAAAAGGAAGGTAGGAAAGAGAGAGAAAGAAAGAGAAAGAAAGGTGTATTTTGCTTGGCAACTTAACAGAGATATCCAAATAAAACTGGTTCTTGGAAACATAATACAGAGGTGATTTGTTCCTATCAAAAAACTGTGAAAGGCTTTCTTATTTTCTAACACCATTTCTGTTTCTTTGATGTGTAACGGTGCCACTTAGGGCTGATTCCTAAGGCCATTGATTGTTTATAACTATGATTTATAGGCCACTTTTAAGGGCATGGCCATGTTGTTTGCACACTTATTATAGTTCTCCTGTGATGGCCTGGTTGTTTCTGGTGGCTCTCCATTCAGTGGCTTTTCATTACCGGCAGTTAGTACTTGTCTAGGACAGGCAATGTCTGCATGCGAGTTATTTATTTATTTATTTATTTATTAATACAGTTATATCCCACCTTTTCCCTCTTGCAAAGAATCCCAGGCAGCTTACAATGGCCCTCTTCCTCTCCATTTATCCTCACAGCAGTCTCTTGAATTAGGTCAAGTTGAGAGCTGCTGACAAGCCTGGTGAACCTCAGGGCTCAGCAGGGACTAGAACTAGGAATGCTCAAGCCCAAGTTCAGCACTCTAAGCACTACGCCACACTGACTGTCATGGTGTGGCTCATCATATGAAATCGTCACCTGCAAACTGGACAGCTAATCATGCCATAGTACTATGGAAACCTATTTAAAACGGGGAGCCTTTCTTTCTGTAGTATGTTCAGATGACAGTAAGAGTGGTAGTGTAGTTGACTTAGTATCATCCAGCACCCAACTGGTTGAGTCTGAAGCAAAAAACCTCCAAAAGGATCAGTCTAGCAAACTAGCATTGCTATTAACATTTGAGTCCTATGGTAGCAGTGATTAAGTAGGACTTCACTTTCCTGTGATGACCTGATCTACTGGGCAATCGTCTTTTAGTGTAATGTGCTTCGGGGGTGGAATGGACAATGACAATGGGTTTTTAGTTGAGTTCTCAACTTCTAGATCAAAACCTGTCTCAGTAAGGATTGATTGGGATGTCATCACTGTGGTTGCAGAATCTAGAGGGCTTCTTGATCATTTGCACATTATGACTTTTCTCCCTTCACTGTGAATGAATAGTCCTTTTTATTTCTTGCATGGGTTACCTGTGTGTTAAGCAAGTGGCCATAAAGAATATGACATCATAATCCACATACGGAACTAGATATCACAAGAGCCTATGTTCCTTTGCACAACATCAAATTTAACTCACTGTGCCCCAAGGTATCACACTGGACAATATATTTCATCTCCCCTCAGTCGGCTGTACAAGGGGGAGAGCAAGGGATTTCCCAGTGCAATTATATCATATAAAGTATTGTATTAAGTCAGGTATTACAAGGAAGAGGTGAGGGATGACCCACAGTTGGAAGTCTGTATCTCTTGTAGCATTATTTTCTTCCTTTTGCTAGCAGTGTAGAGCTTTTTGGTGCCCTCCCTACACATCGTTGCTTGTAGTCCTGCTTTGATCTTTTTATTTCTTGCCCTTCCTTGTAGTGATGAAATGCTGCAGGTAGAATCTGTAGTGGTCTAAAATAAATGTTAAACTTTTTTTTAATGAAACTTTTTGGGGGGATCTTGCACTTTTTTCTTCCATCACTCTGGGGATCTGCTTGATTTTTCTCCCAGTGGATTTGTTTCATTTGAATGCTGAAATAGCAATTTATGAAATGCTTAACCTCTTGATTTTAAAATCCCACTTGAGGTCTAGCATTTTTCATTGTTTCTTTGAATACTTCCATATTTTAAGATAAGCCATTGAATCCTATGCATTGTTTTGCAGACTTTTTGTTTATTCAAAGGGACACCTGCCTTTGGAAGCATCCAAATGGCAGTCTCCTATATTTTGACGTTGTAGCTTATTTGATAAAACACAAACCAGGTGCCCAGAGAAAGCAAGTACTTGGTTTCATTAGATGGCTCCTGCTCTACAAAGTACACAGCCTTTGGTGGTCTGACAATTGCAGCTTGCAATGTAAACAAATGAAGGCTATCTGTGGGTCTGGCCATGAGCACTTAAGACCTGTGGGTGTTGGATACCAGTTGCTGTGTACTCCAGCAAAAGCAAAGGCCAGTACATGAAATTTTAGGCTTTCTTAGGGCTGAATATGCAGTCATCTACTTTAAGACTGCTGTGTGGTTGCTCCATCACATACCTCACCTGTTCTATTTGAAACTGATTTTGTTTGCTGACATTTTGCCAATTTTGTCTCCTGAATGAACTGTTTTTCTTCATCTTACTCCTTTGCTATTTCTGTTTCCTGGAATAATAAAGATAAAACTGAAATGGAGTGGTGCCCAATTTTTGGTTACTTTTTGTATTACCTTTTCGGTGTTCTAACAAGTCATACTAGTGACTCAGGGATTTGTTGCATATAATTTATGCTTAATAAGCCTAATTAGCAGTCTGAGGCACACTCCATCATAAGCTTCTCCAGATCAGATATGTCTCTACTAGCACCAAATAATTGTATCTTTTTATGGCCTTTGGGTTTTCATCTGCAGAAGGCAGAAGATTTGAATTTGACAGTTTACAAGTGTACGGTTTATCAGACGATGAGAGAGACTTTATATTACCTTTGTGAGCATGTGGATAACATTTCTACTGGTGCAGGGAAAACATATATTTCCTCCTGCCATGAAAAGTAATATTTGCATATAGAACATTTGTAGCTAATGCTCTGTAATAAGGCATGTCTTTTATAAATACTGGAGCAAAATAAAATCAGTCTCTAACCATGATGTATTCTATATATGTATTTGCAAAATCAAAGACAGCTTTGGATATTTTATGGCAATTTCCATTGCTGTAGACTCATGAATGAAGGAGAAATCACATTAATGTGTAGAATGTGCCATTAAGCTGTGTTTTTGCAAATTTGCTTCCCAAACCAGGTGAACATGAACCAGGAGCATGAGCTGAGATAAAGGAAGCCTGCTCAGATCTCCCTAGCTGCCTACTCTGAGATCTCTAGCTTCCATTCCCCTTTCTTTAGCTTAGAAAGAAGCTCTGGTTGCAACTACCCTCGAGCTACTCTGTGTATGAAATATTCACACATACACACACATTCTGAGGCACTGGTACTCAAATGCATCAATACAGCCTAATCTTCTTCCCTTAATGATCAGCAGAAGACTAGCTTGAGATGAGTGAAGAAAGTCCCCAATGATCACCTAAGTGTACTGAGCTGAACTTTGACCTCAAAGTCCTTGGGGTCTCTTGCACCCAGAGCAACCTTCACTTGCCCAAAGCACACTGTCCCAAAGCACAGTTTTTTCTTTTAGGGCAAAGCCCCCTCTGTAGGGACCTTCCCTGGGTAAGTCTGCCTTCTCACCACCATTGTGACCAGCTGCTATGGCTTTGCTTCTTTCTCACCATTGCTATCACTTGCAAGACAGACAGAGAATCAGCAAACAAGTAGGTAGCTGCATCCACTACCCCCTTTTTTCTCATTCCCATTATTCTCTGGGCCAGAATAGAAGGACTTTTTTTTTCATTTTCACACTCCATTCTTTCCACTGCCCCAAACATCCCATCAACCAGTGTAGGGTTTTCATCAAGATAATGTTGCACCAAGAGAAATGCTTCTGCCACTCATGATGTTGCTCAAATGTTCACCCACACTTTGTTTAAGGGCTCTAGAGGTTTTACCCACATACGTTTTTTGCAAGTGTACTGAATTGCATGAACAACATTACTGTTGTGAAAGGTCATAAACTGTTCTAAAGTAGACCGCTTTCCTTTCTTGTGTGCTTGCTTGCTTGTTACATTTCTCCCACATGGATGATGTTGCTAAGGACTGGGAAGCCCTGAAATGCTTTGTGGCTACGTGCCTCCCTTCTGTGTGAAATCACTCCTAACCAACATGCCTCTTAATTCTCTTGTGTGTTTGAAAGAGGTCAAGGGCTTGTCCTGGCAAACTGGAATCTGTCATAAAAGAAGCCATTACTTCTTATTGCTACCTGGAAGGGCACTGGATCCATAGTTGAGCATCACTGTGCAATTGATTCTGTTATTGACAGCCTTTTCCCTGTTGCTTGGAACTTTTTTGTTTTTAGTAGCACTGTTTGCATTGCTTGTGAGCTTGATAGGAACATCTCAACTTTGCACAGGGGTGGTGAAGCTTTTTCATTTCAACAGCTAAATTCCATTTTGCAAAAGGGTCCCAGAGGCACATCCTGTCTGTGAGCATGAGCAAAGGAAACATGGACATAGTCAAAAGCAGAGTGGGAAGGGCCAAATGTGATTCATACCCCTTTTGAGAATACCCAGAAGTAAGGAGGACAAGCCTCTGCCTGTCTTCTCAGGAGTAAGTATGAGTAATATCTATACTCAGAAATAAGGGAGGACAAGCCACGGAGTAAGCAAGACTGAATCACTCTGCACTTTCCCTAGCAGAGAAAATCTCTTCCCTCTTATCTGTTGTTGATCACAGAAAAAAGTTTTTCCCTGACAGGGAGAGGTGACAAGCTTTGGGGAAGAAGCTAGTGGGCTAAATGCAGAGCCTCTGTGGACCTTGAGAGGTTGCAAAGCTTTGGAATGACTCCATAACACATCACATCACTATTTAACAGTTCTGCTGCATGAAGCAGTGACAGTAAATATCTAAATCATGGTCTCTTTGAGACAATTAGTAGCAGCTTGGCTTAGACTCGTTCACAGATCTCTCTAAATTTTGCTTTCCTATCTAGATAAAATTTCAGTGCTGGGGAAAGCCTGCACATCTTGGGTGCCCTGTCCAATTTGATGTCTGACTTGTGCTTGACAAATTTCCCTGTACGTTTAGTCACAGTATCACTCGAAGTCAAGGTTTGTCCCTTTACAATGGACATATGAGGCTTGGTTGGCTTGACTATAAAAGTATATCACAGAACCTGCTGTTTTGCTCACTTTCAGAATTTTTTAACATAGCTAGCCCCACTTAATTACTTTTCATTTTAGTTATGTGATTTGGGGGTATAGTGCAAAATTATGTAAACAGCAGTGGCCCTTAGTATGTTGAAGAGCTGGTGTTTGGCAGCAGTTGCAAAAGCTCACTTGCTCGCTTTCTCTTGCTCTCTCTCTCTCTCTCTTTCTACTTCCCATGATGCTAAGCCACCAAGGGGGAGGATTAGCATGATGTCTGAGCCCCATGGGATGGCTCATGAAACACCCCAAGTGGCCATGGCTTGTTCTGAGCTTTAGGAAGCCCTCCTTGACTTTGCCTGTCATCCAAGTTAAACCACCATCAAGCTGAAAAATATAAAAATCCCTTGGCAAAAGTGGCAAAAAAGGGTTGCCACTCTGGATTAGGGGCTTTGGCCACCCCATGCCACCTCCTTCCCAAACCCCATGCAGAGCGTGAGGAGGAGGAGGGCCTGCTCAGCTTTGCTTCCTCAATGGGGAGCAGAAAAGCAGGCCCTTTGGCGGATGGGGGAGGCCATTCTGCCTGTCAGCATCATGCAAGTGCAGGGTGCTGATAGCAAAATTGGGTTGTGGGGCGGGGCAGCAGCTGAGGAGCAGGAAAAGGCGGGTTGTTGTCCTGCCTCTCTTGATGTTCTAGCTCAGTACATCTTGGGATACTGGCTGAAGGACTGGAGGGGGAGAGGGGGACATGTGCCTGAGGACCCCTGCTGCACCTGGTCATTAGTTGGGCACAGTTGCACCCCCCCCCAGCAACTTTTAATCACAAGGTATTCAAACCCACCCTTCCCACCACACACACATGGCTGGTGAGAAACAATAATTCTGCCAAAAAACTGTGAAATTTAAACTGTTTCAAAGAATTTATCATGCCTACTGTTCATATTCAGGAAACTGGAGTTTTATTAGGATCCCCCCACCCTTGCTGCCGCCGCCACTGCACCTGTCAAAGCAGAAAATTAAAATGGCTCTATTTATAGTCCCATTACTTAGATTGTACTCCCTGTATTGCTGGCAATAAACCACTCAGACTGGAAATATAAACACAGCTTTTAAAAGAACACTGTCAACAAGTAATTTAAGATTGAAGACAGTTGTTTTAATTGTTTAAAATATATTTTTATTTGAATATGAAACTTGGATTTTAAACTGCTTTTATATGAAAGAGAGAGAATGGGAACAGTCTGCACATTTTTCATTCACTCCAGTTCTTTGTTGCAGCCACAGGAACTCCCAGTCTGCCTGTTAGGTTGCCTTCCCTGCAATCATGTTCCCTATTAAATATAATAAATATGGTAGGAGCATTTAAAACAGCCCTTTCCATTGACACAACGGAGGAAGCACTCATGGCAAAGCACTGCATGAGCATTATTGTATGCACAGTGTTCTGGATTTTGGATCATGTAATGCTACACACACACACAAAATGCCAATTACTTTGGATTTCAGTTGAAATATAGGCAAGTACTATGGATAATTCCTTCCTTATTAAGGAACTAGCATATACTTTATAATAATTAATCAAATCAGAGAAATTAAACTTCCAGCTTCCATGGAAGTACAACATACACCTAAGTTGACAGAGATGGCCTTTTCTGTTCTTCTCAGTGACATGGACAGCAAGACACAGCAAACAGCTATTTCTGCTGCCAGCTTATCTCTCGCTCTTGCTGGGGACGTTGGGTCATTTCCATTGCCATTCTTGCAGGAAAAAAAAGATAATGCTCTGATGGTCCCTCTGCAGGTGTTCCAAATGGCCGGTTATATTTCTGCAATGTCATACTGTGCTCTACAAGCATGATGAATCCTTTTGCCCATTAACATCAACATGCTGTTCAGACACAATTGGCTGGAATTACCTGGTTCTTCGTCGTGGTCTCTGTGCATCACACATTATGGGTGCTGTGCCTGCACAGTGCCTGTAGCCAGGAAAGATTCAAAGCTTTAATGGATTTTGGTGGGAATTCCGCACCCCTCCCCCACTGTGGTATAAAGGGTGGAGCGCCCCCCATTTCCCAGTCTTCTTTTGATCGCCGATCACTTTGCCTCAAGCCGTTCGTTACTCTTTCTACTCTACTGCATATTACCTTGTTGTTCTTGTTTGTTGATTCTTGTTGCTCTTCTCTTGTTAAGAAATCCCTTCCAAGTTTAAATCTTTCCCTTCCCTGTTAGGACAAGTTTCCCCCCACCCTTTTCCCCCTTCCCCTATATATTTTAATTGCTAAATTATTGTATTTATTAGGATTTTAAATTAGCCGAGAATGCACCGGGGGGGGGGGGTTAAATGTTTTTTTCCTTTTCTTTTTTCTTTTTCTTTTAAATTGTTATATTGTTATTGTTTATGTTTTTTTGTATTTTTTGTGATTCGCCCCGAGGCTTTGTTGCGATGGGGGCGGCATAGAAATGTTTTAGATACTTGTCTCTCTATAGTTCTTCTTCTTCCCATTCACTATCCATTCTTTCTTCTCGATGGCTCAGCGTGCGGCTTTTCAAAAGCGCTCGAAGTGTGGGGCCAAGATGTCTCCGACGGACCCACATGAGCTATGCCTTTTCTGCCTCTGAGACAGAGAAGGGCATCAGACTGACAAATGTGGCCACTGTCAGATGTTCACTAAACAAGCTTGGAAGAACTGAGAAAATTGACCGAGGAAGATCCTTTGGGATCAGGCCCTCATTGCCTCCAACGAGCTTGCCACTCAGGCCTCTTCTACAGGCCCACCTATGGTGTCCTCCCCTCATCCACCATCCAAGGGGGCTGCTTCCAAGGAGACCACTCGCTCCTCCCATTCCTCCTTCCAAAAACAAAAGGAGAAGCAGAAGCACACTGGGCCTGAGGATCCGTCAGCTCCCAAAAAGTCTAAGAAGACTAAAGCCAACAAGGCCAATCACAAGCAACGTAAGCTTGCTCAGGAGCCTCGCAGAGACTCAGGCTTGACTGCCCCATTGGTCCTGACAGCCGCTTTGGTTTTGACCCCTTCAGGTCCAACTGCTCAAGCCGTCAGGCAAGTTACACCGCCTGGATCCCCACAAAGGATTTCATTGTCAGCTCCTTCGACTCTGGACTGCTCTGAGGCAGCTCCTCGCAGATCAGTGTTGGACGGCAAGATATGGGACTCACCTCCCCGCTCTCAACTGGGCCATCCAGCGGTATGCTCGCCTACTCCAATGCCATCATCACCAGAGGCATCGCCAAGACCTCAGCCTCCATCTGACATGCATTGCCACCAGCGTGCATCAAGCCAAACATCTAGGAGCGGGGTTCCTATGCCGTATGGTGGATTCGACCCGTCCCAATCCTATCCTTGGGACTGCCGTCCGCTGTATGGCTACTACCCCATGCCTTGGGTGCGCAGATATCGTCCTCATCCATCCCGGGCAGAAGCGCCTTCTGCTTAGGCAGCTGCGTTCTCTCTCCTCCGTCTCCGGCTGGCTCCTCCTCCAGTCCTCCGTACCAGTATGACTCAGACTCAGAGGACTCGGATCAGGCTTTCAATTCTCCCGATGCCATCATTTCGACTCAGGAACCTGGGTCGCCGGAATAGTCATACTCCACATTTGGAGAACTCATGGCTCACCTTGCAAGGTCGTTGGAGGTAGAAGTTGAACATTGGGTGAACCCCAATGAGGACCACTTCTGTGACATTGTTCGTAAGGAACAATCATCCACTATCTCCATCCCCTTGATAACGACTCTTTGCCAGGCTATGACGGATACTTGGGAGTTTCCAAGCCAGCCTCACCCGTCGTCTCGATGCTATGAGTCCATGTATAAGGTTAGGGAACAGGACATTCCCTTGCTGCTCAAACACCCAAAACCGAACTCCATAGTTGTCGTCGCAGGGTCAGGATAACAGGGAGCACTTGACCATGAGAGACAAGGAGGGTCACAAGATAGACCTGATGTCGCGTCGTATCTATGCTGCGATGGGACTGGGCTTGCGGATATCTAACTACAAGGCAACGATGGCCAGATACCAGTACTTTTTGATGCAAAGGCTGGAATCTATCACCTTGACCATCCCAGAACAACAACATGATCTGGCCTGCATGTTTATCCATGAGTCCATGCAGCAGGCCATACAACAGCTCAGTATGGTGTAGCATTGCATGGATTGCAATTCCCGAGCACTTGTTGGCTCCATTGCTCTACGCCAACATGCGTGGCTACGCTCCTGCAATTTCCCAGATGAGACAAAGAGGCACATTGAAGGCATGCTTTTCGACGGGTCCGGACTCTTCAACGCCCGCACGGACCACAAACTCAAGCATATCTATAATGCTCAAGTCACTGCGTGGAGGATGGAAATACTGAACCAGAACAGACGTAAGTGGCCACAGTCTTGTTCTTATCGGTACCAACCCTACCAACAATACACCTCCTGCCAACAGTACCAGCCTTGACAACAATGGAACCAAAGGCAACCTGCCGCCCACTTCCAACAGGGCCGTTGCCGTCAGACCAATGACAAGCGACAGCATTGACAGGATGCACAGACTGATCTTCTCTCTCTCCACCCACCTTCCCCTCTCCCTTTTGGGGATCAGCTGCAAGGCCGACTCCCCATTTGGGAGTCCATCACATCTGATAAGTGGGTTGTTCCATCATTGAGCACGGATATAAAATCAAGTTTGATACTGTGCCCCCTTCGGGACCGATCCATTACACTTCTCCATCAACGGTCCTTCAAGATGAAGTCTCCCAACTACTACTACTTCATAAAGGGGCGATTCACCAGCTTTCTCGCTCAGAGGGGCTCCACGGTTTCTACTCAAGATATTTTACGGTCCCGAAATGGGATGGTGGTCTATGTCCAATCCTTGATCTACATGGTGTTGACAAGTTCATCAAGACTAAGACATTTTGAATGACCACCCTTCAGAATATCCTTCTGTTGCTCAGGAGAGAAGATTGGTTCACTTCTCTGGACAAAGGATGCATATTTCCACATCAGCATCCATCTGTCACATAGGCGGCTGCTCCAATTCACTGTTGGTTCTGACCTCTTCAAGTATAATGTTCTCCCATTTGGACTCGCTACTGCTCCACGAGTCTTCATGAAGAGCATGGCCCCCTTTTGTGCCCACCTCAGGCTACAAGGTGTCCAGATTTATCCCTACCTGGACGATTAGCTGATCGTCTTCTCATTGAAAGAGAGCCTGCTTTTGGCCATCAATTCCACGTGTAGATTCTTAGATGAACTCGGACTCTGTATTAATATTGAAAAATCATGCCTCGTTCCCTCACAGGTCATCAACTTCATCGGAGCACACCTTGACTCAATTCAAGCCAGAGCGTTTCTGCCACAAGCTCGAATGGACAAGCTTTGGTCATCGATTCATCACATCTCCAATGGCCAACCTACTCCTGCACTTTCCATCCTGAAGTTGCTCAGACACATGGCTTCCCCAGTCGCTTCAATACCCAATTCCAGACTTCAAATGCAACCCCTGCAACTCTGGTTCAATCACCTCTTCCATCCTCAACACGACTCTCCAAATCGTCTCTTGCTCCCACCTGCTTTCATTCTCCAGACTCTGACTTGGTGGAAGATCAAAGACAACCTCATCACAGGGGTCCCCTTTCGCTAGCCACAACTGACAGGGACCCTGTACACTGATGCCTTCCTTGCAGGGTGGGAAGCACATTGTGCCAATCTCTGTACTCATGCCACCTGGCATGGTCATGAGAAGTCCAGGCACATCAGTTATTCTAGCTGTCTTCAAAGCTCTCCAGTCTTTCAAGTTGACTCTTCGTGGCCAAGTAGTTCAAATAGCCTCAGACAATGTCGTGACTGTCTTTTACATCAACAAGCAGGGCGGCATGAAATCAGTACCCTTGGCACATCTTGGCCTGCGCATATGGGACTGGTGTATCCCCAGGGGGATGACTCTGCTAACAGTTCATCTCACCAGTGTAGACAACGAAGAAGCGGATGCCCTCAGCAGATGGATGTCGACAACTCACGAGTTGGGAGTTGGACTGACAGATTTGCAACCACATTTTCCAACACTGGGGCACCCCAGACATAGATCTGTTTGCCACAGTGGACAATGCAGTTTACACAAACTATTGCTCCTGGGCAGGCATCGGCCCAAATTCACTGGGAGACGCTCTGATGGTGAACTGGGCAAACATGTTTTTCTATGCGTTTCCTCCGATTCCGCTCATTGCAAAAACCCTGACCAAAAATGTTCAAGATGAAGCCCAGGGAATTCTCATAATGCCTTGGTGGCCATGCCAACCCTGGTTTCCCACCATTCTCAGTCTCTTCAAGAAAACCTTTTTCTGTCTCTCACGGGTCCTTCATCTCATTACTCAGGAAAATAGGGTGATTCGCCATCCGGACCTCAATTCTCTGAATCTCACCGCTTGGCTTATTCAGGGACTGTCGCTTTTTCCTCTTCCTTAGTACCGACAACTTCATCGAACCTGATGATTCCTGCACAATCCCTGGTACCGATAAGATCTTCGGTACCTATGGAACCCCCAGGTCCTGTTTCAGATTTGAGCGTCCTTCACCCAGACCTACAATTTATTCTCCAATCTGCTCTATGACCGACGACTTGTTGCTCCTACAAAGCTAAATGGAGACTTTTACCACCTTTGCAGCAACCAACCAATTTCTGCCACACTCAACCTTAATTGACAATATTTTACTCTTGTTATCTCTACATCAGCACAGACTTAATCCTACTTCTATTAAGGTTTACATCGCCGCGATTTCTCACTTCAGTGGTCTCATCTCCAGCTCCTCTGTCTTCTCACACATTCTCGTCCGCCATTTCCTGAAAGGATTACAAAATCTTCAGCCTCCAGTTCATTCAGTGGTACCAACGTGGAGTCTCTCTGTGGTTTTATAGGCTCTTACTAAAGCTCCCTTTTGAATCTTTGGCTACCACTGACCTATGCTTGTTGTCTTGGAAAACAGCCTTTCTTGTCACCATCACTTTGGCTAGGAGGGCAAGTGAGCTCTGTGCTCTTTGTATCGACCCTCCTTACCTCAACTTTCATAAGGAGAAGGTCGTACTCCGGACTGATCCTTCCTTCCTTCCTAAAGTCGCTACACCTTTTCACATCAATCAGGATATTGTTCTGCCAGCCTTCTTCCCCTTGCCCTTGACACCAATAGAAAAATCTCTCCATTCGCTCGATGTGAGGCGCTGCCTGGCTTTCTATCGATCCTGTATGGAGAACCTCAGAAAAACCAAACGTTTTTTCATTAAATATTCAGAACATGATAAGGGCTTGGCTGTTTCCTCCCAAAGGCTCTCCAGATGGATTGTCCAGACCATTGAATTGGCATATGCACTGTCAAAGCTAGAACTCCCTGTCATACCCAAGGGTCATGCTGCTAGAGCCGTAGCAGCCTCTTCGGCTTTTTCTGCTGGCATTCCATTGCCTGACATCTGCAAGGCGGCAACCTGGACGACCCCTTGCACATTTACTAGACACTAAAGACTCAATGTCCATGCCAGACAGGACTGCTCCTTTGGTCGTGCCGTCCTTTCTTCAGTTTTTCACTGACAACACCATCCCGCCTCCGGGTTTGGTAAGCTTACTAATCACCCATATGTGTGATGCACAGAGACCATGACAAAGAAAGGCAGGTTGCTTACCTGTAACCGTTGTTCTTCGAGTGGTCATCTGTGCATTCACACAACCCACCTGCCGGCCCCACTCGGTGTCAGTGACTGGGTTTGCAAAGGCTTTTGCCTTCAAATACAACCACTGAATGTATTATTCTCATTCTATTAGTATGTTTTTCTTTAATTCCATCCACTGGTGTCTCCTGACACTGACCATTCATCCATTAGGGGGTGATTGCACAGTCTTCATTAGACTGGGAAAATGGGGGGCGCTCCACCCTTTATACCATAGTGGGGGAGGGGTGCAGAATTCCCGCCAAAATCCATTAAAGCTTTGAATCTTTCCCAGCTACAGGCACTGCGCAGGCGCAGCATCCATAATGTGTGAATACACAGATGACCTCTTGAAGAACGACGGTTACAGGTAAGCAACCTGCCTTTCTTTTACATGGCCCATGAATGAATATATATATATTGTTCAGGAAGGACATGAGCCTGGAGCTAACATGACCAGCTGGCCTAACTGCATAGCTTTTCATAGTGGTGACTCAGTTTAGACACATGCTTTGAAATTCACCTGCAAGGGTTCCTGACTTAAGTTCAGAATGAACTTTCTGGAGCTGTTACTGATTATTCTGTGCTCTGATGTGTTTCCATCTTGGCTCCAATTACTATGTTCTCAGGCACTTCTTTAGTTTAGAACTTGGTTTGTAACTTTGGCTTACATTTAGGTGGCACTTCTGCTCGAAATACATGTGGCTGTTGAAACTTTTTACTGGCTGAGATTTCTGAATGAATACAAATGTCCAGTTCTCCCTCTAGATTCTTATGTCCCTATTACAATTAGTAGAACCTGAAAATTGAACTATTTTGGCACCTTGGGAAATGGCTTTTTTAGACGTACCGTGTTGGGAAGTTTTAGAGTTGGTTTCTTTGGTTGTGTGCTTCCCTCATGAGCAGTGTGATACATTTTAAACAAACATTCCAGTATATAGACTTAAAAAAGACAATAAAGTACTGTTCCCTAGAAGAATTAAATAGAATTATCTTTCCACTGTTTGTAGAGGTCATTGATTCAATAAACAATTACCCACAAACAATGTATATTGAATAGAGGTTACTATTTTTGCAGATCAAACAACTGTTTTGATCAGGTTTCATGCTTTATTTGAAGATTTTTTTACGGATCTGTGGGTGTTGTATAGACAGTCTCCTTAGCTTTCTTTGTACAGTTTCTTTCTTCTTCTTTTTACAACCATGTTATTCCTTTTAGGTACCAGCAGTGTTTTTATGGAGTCAATTTGTCTAGTCTCCGCAATGCAGCTGTGGATGAGTACTTCAGGCAACCTATTGTAGTAAGCTTTAAAATATATATATCTTCATCATATTCTAAAGGCTGCCAGTATCTCCATGTGGGGGCTTCTAAAAGCAGTCAGGACATTGATATCTGAGAGCTCTATTTTGCTTAGAGGATGTAGACATGGGGCGGGCAGAAAGTAGATTTCCAGATGCTTTGGATTTCAACTCCCAGAATCCCCTGCTAACATAGCCAGGGTCCAAGAATACTGGAAGTCAAACTTAAACTAAAACTTCCAGACATCTTCTTTCTGTTCTTTCCTAATATAGATTTTGATAACCCAACTTTATCTGAAGATCCCACTTGTTGAAACCCTTTGTCTTCACATTGACCTGAAATAAGCTACATAGTCACCCTTTTCTACAATTGCCTAACAAGAGTTAATACATGCTTTTTGGTTTGTATTTGCTATATGCTATGTGGAGTTCTGTGATTCTATCCCACACTTTTATTTAAGCCAGAGGTTGTTGGGGCAAACCGTATTTAAACAGGACAAGAGTTCACAGTGAGTGACCAAGTAGTGGCCTGTTTATGTTGCTGGAGTGTGCCAAGCACCATTTGCTGATTTGCCTGCCTGGGCACACTATGTAGTTTGTAGGATGGGGAAACAATCCCCAAGTAGCCCATGCCCTGTTGTTGTGTTATTTGAGGGTTGTTTGTGCCTCGAACAAGCCATGCTGCAAAGGTTCACACATCAGGACAAGCTGCACCTAATTTCTGGATGAATGGAGAAGACTTCTGAGGCATGTGCTGTTGCTTTCCACGTCTCATGGACAAGAATTTCTAGGGAGTGCAGGTAGCATCAGCAGTAGGATATACATGAGAATGACATGGTTGGTTTTTCTTTAAGGTTAGGACAAAATTGGGTAATAGATGAAAAGCTTGTGATTCCTTTGCTCACAGCTGAATAGTATTTCAAGGAAAAACCAAGCAAGTGGAATTTGTAAAGACTACTTAGAATTCTGTCAAGAAAAATGTTATTCTCTAGCATGTTGCACTGACCATTGTGTAATCATGTACTGTTTTTTCTTTCATAGTGGATGTGAGTTAATAATATGTATAAGAAAGTAGAAGAAAGAATATGTTATGCTCACTGCTATACAATACTAAATGTAAAGTTAGTGTTCCTATGTTGTACTAAAAGAACTTATTAGTGAAAAGGTTGCTAGAAAGTGCCTATCCCTACACTAATCCCATCCACCCCACTAAGATTTTCTGGGCATGATGTATATTTCAGGGTTCTAGATATAAGTAATGCATGTTACTGATAGGAAAAGGACCAAGCAAAGAAGAATTTTCTCTTGGGGAAAATACCTGTTTTACAAGCCTGAAGCACTAGATTGACAATACATGACTTTCTTTCTAAAATTTTAATCCTACAGGACACATTTGATATTAGAATTTTGATGGCTCGGACAGTGAAATACACTGTCAATTTTACAGAAGCAGCAGAAGAAGATTTGTACAGGTGAGTGACTAGAAAGAGCCTGCTTTCCATCTCTGAATCACACCCTATTTTAAAGAAATAGTATGTTGCTTTACTTTGCCATTTATAAGCAAGCCAGCAGCATGTGAATAGGCCCTATCTAGAAATGTTAGCTTTTTATCTTTAAAAGTTTCTAGCAGTCTGAATTGCTGCGATAGAATAAACATAGTAGTGGAGTAGAATATAATTTGGTGTGAAGTAATTTGCTTTAAAACACAACACATTCATCAACACAGCCATGCCAAAACAAAGTGAAATACAAGATACAGTGATTAATTGTATAGGCAGAAGGTTTTATTACAAGATATAATTTCTTGTTACAAGCACAGCATGTTTTGACATAAATAGTTCTTTATCAAGGGATAGCATGAAAAATTGGTATTGGTGAAAAGGTATTAAACCACCAATGCAAGTGGTAGTCACTTATTAATTCTGTTGCAGAAGAGTTTAATGCAGAAGATTCATAATTGTTGTGTTTTTAAGTTGTTGTTGTTTTATGTTGTTTCAATTAAGATTTTGTTTTTACTGGCTGGGGCTGATGGGAGTTGAAGTCCAAAATATCTGAAGGGTGCCAGCTTGAGGAAGACTGTTAAATACTATTGAACACAAAGAGATTTATTAGTAAATATGCCTGAATCATACCACACAACTGATGGAAGGTACACCTTCAGTGAAAATCCATCTAACTTTATTTCCAGAAAGGTGTTATGGTTAGGGTGCCAGTTTTTAAATTACCTACAGCTCCCATCAGCTCTTGTTAGCATAAGCCAGTGAGGGGGGATGATGGAGATTGTAGGCCAAAACATCTATCAGGCTGCAGGCCCATCTATGTTCAAAACCATCAGTGACATTTTGGTGTTCTAATATTACCCGTGGCAACTCTTTGCTTTTCTTTTGCAGAGTGGAAATCCCCTTTGTTTTCCAAGTGATGCAGTCTGGGCTAATCCATGGCTTGGCATTTTGGTTTGATGTGGCATTTGTTGGCTCACTGTACGTATTCCCAACAGCTACTTAGAAATGCCAACTTAAGGGCAAAGGCCCTTTCTTCTTAGGCCAAATTCATGCTTAATCAAGTTCTTTTCCTTCTAATACCTGAAGGAGGAATAAGCACAATTAACTTATGTTTGAATTGTGCAGATCTGACTACCTCAAAAACAATGTCAGCATATCATTTTTGCATTGGAAGCTGTTTGTGTAAAACAGACTCTTCATTAAAATGCCAAAGGCACCAGTTCAGGCTGTTTCATAAAAATGCCTGTATTGTGAAAATGATATGATAAAACATCACATACTGGCTTGAAAGCAAACTAGGCCTATAAGTGGATCTGGATGTTTGCCATATTGATCAACACCTTCCTTATAGCAACATTTTCAGCCCTGGTGCTATCTAAATGGAGGTACAGTTGTTGTTTTCAAAATTATATCCTGCCCTTCAGTCATAAGCTCTCAGGGTAGCTACAAATCAGACAAAAAACCATTGCAAATCAGATAAAGAAAATTAAAATAACATATCAAAAATAATAAACCTAAAGTAAAACAACAGAAGCAATATAAAACCCACAGATACCATGTCAGCAGAATAAAAGTTTTTAAAGGCCTGAGAAAATAAAATGGTCTGACTTGATGCCAAAAAGACCTGAGAGCCAAGCAAGCCCTGCCTGGGAGAAAAGGGTATAGAGATGAGGCACTGCAGCCTTTCTCCAGTCAATGCCCACCTAGCATCTAAAGGCAGGGCAACCAGAAAAGGCCCTCCAAACGTGATCTTAACACATGTAAAGCTGATTGGGTGGTGGGAGTGCAGCTCCACTGAGAACAGCACCTCCATGCCAGAATTTAGCACATTCTCCATTTTATTTGGTGGCAATCCTCCCTTTGCCAGGTTGGGAAAGTGGTTTGACATCTCTCTGTGCTTCCTTGGATATATGCTGCCCTTAAAAATGTATTGGGTTGGATTCTGCCATTGACAGAAAAAGAGTTTGTATTCGTGAAAGTATGCAGTCAAAGTAGTCTTTCCACTCACAGAATGGAAGGACTTTGTGTGCAAATTTCCTGTCCTGAGTGCCCATTCTGTTCACAGAGGAAAAAATCCTTATCCAAGCCATTCCCTCTTCTCTCTTGATCTTCCTGGGAGTAATTTTACAGACTGTTGGTTTAACAGTCTCCTCTTGGTGCCTGAATATTTATTTAATGTTTCCTCTGAAGGGTAACAGTCTGGCTATCAACTGCTCCGACAGAACCTCTGACTCACTGGTATCAAGTACGCTGCCTTCTTCAAACTCCACTTTTTGCCAAAGAAGGGGAAACACTTTCTGGGAAAGTTTTATTTGTAGCAAATAAACGGTAAGTGGCAAACATGGGTGCTTTCCTGTTTAAAGATGTTCACCTTGTTACATTAGTCAGAATTTCTGCAGTGTTATGTTGGAGAAAATAATATAAGGTTAATCTTATGAAGCATTTGCAGATTGGTGGAAATGAACAGAACAGGCAATATAAAACATGTTTTACATTGTGTCCCATACTGTAGGAAATGCTCCACATCCATTCATCTCAAAGAGGATTTAAAAAATGTCAGTTTAACATTTTTGCCAAGTGAATTTACTTTGGAGATCTAGCATTTTGCCGCTATTAGCATCCCTTTATACATTTAACCCTACATTTAGCAAAGTGAAATTGATTTCCGTTACAGAGAATATAATGGCCTAGCACAGCATTTCTTTTTCTTTTAAGCTACTTCAATTTAGTGGTTATATAGAGGTGATATACATTTATTAGAGTGGTTAACATACCTGTCCTTCAGCACAACATTGCTTACTTCACTGACTTTGAATCTCTCACTTGTTCTCTATAAAACGGAAAGAGCTGATTGTATACGTCACTTCATTTTGCTAGCTAATAGGAGATCCTTGGTGAGTTTATTTTTTGTTGTTAGTAGTGTATTCTGTTACCAGTAGCACAAAAATCCTTTCAAGATAGGCAGTAAAGAAGAGGACTTGCCAAAGGTTTGCACAGATCTGTCTTTCCTGTGCTATTTCCTTCACATGTGCAGAAATCTGGTAAAAAAAACTGGAGCTGTTGTAGAAAAAGGAACCAGTAGCCCATTCTCACGACTTGGAGAAGATTCTGATGGGCTCAGGGTACAGGCTACTTTCTCATGATAGGATGGTTAGTATCCTGCTTAGGGCCCTTCTGGCCAGAGGATACATCCCTGCCTATTGTTGTCTAGCTCATAGGAGGAGTCCCAAGCAGAAACTTCACCCCCCTAGCCTCATAGATGTCTCAGCTTCAGAATCAGACAAGGAACCTTTAATTCCCCATTTAGTTCATCCAGAAGAAATGGGTGTGACCACACTGCAGATTTCATCAGCTTCTAGAAGGTATCATCTTGTTTCAGTTATTTGTTAAGGCAATATGTTCCCGTTCTTCCAGCAGGAAAAAAATAATGGTTTCTCTACTCAAGATGTCTGTCATACACTACTCAAGATGTTTATCATGCACTAGGAAAATGCCAGACTTTCCTCCTC